TCGAATAAAATAAATATGTTGTAATATATATTTGGAGAAATTTATAATTTGGCAGATGGAGAAACATGAAAACTGGAGAGGTGAGTACATTTGTAATTTCTGAGCAAATGCTCATTTATAATGTTGCCTCGGGTGCTGCAAATCCTGCTGGACGACATGTTGTTAGCTTTATGAAGGAAATTGTATACGAAGTTGGATCAATGAAAGTGTTACCCATTTGCACTGGCAATTAATGTCGTTCGCAGGTAGAAAATATGTTTTTGGTGTGATGAGGTTAGAATTTTCCCAACTTAATTCCTATGGATGTAATTCTGGGCATAAAGAACCTAGGTTTATATCGCCATGAGGTTAAAATATAATAAATTTTAATATGCTAAGAGATTTTGATACCCTGACATTATTAACTTCATAACTTGAAAGAAAACATATCTGGAATACATTCAAATTAAAGATTGGACATGAGCTTTGGAATAGGATATATAGATAAATATATGTATTGATAATTTATATTGTTGATGTTCTCTCTCTGTCTCCACACTCACCATAAATATCGTTACATCTGTTCTCTCAATCACAGCCAGAATTGATCCATATCTGACCGACCTACCATACCTCAGTCCTCTCCTCACATTTTGTCGTACCTTTAAAAAATCTTAACACTTTATATTAGAATCAGCTCATGACATATTTTTCTCACAAGCCTCATAATACGCCATTAGGTTCTCCACAGTTTTGTTATGCATCTTCTTAATAAATAAAACAATTCTCTCCTTCCTTTCTGTATGTTCGTTATTCCCTCCCACCCAACAGTCCTGACCTCTGCCGCAATCAAACACAGACATTCATCCTATATGGCACCACTTTCACTATACAGGAGTTGATAGCACTGGCAATATTACTGATAAGAAGGAGTTACCACTACAGCAAGTTCAGTACAAATAGTAATGTGGTATTACTGCAACGATGCTACACTAATGTATAGCACGATATTAGAACAGGAATTTATCTCATACTTTCACCAAGTAGAACTGCTCTCGACACGCTTCGTAATAATTTGTCATCATCTCGATTGAAATTTTATCATCCTAATTAATAAATGTGGAACATCGACTTCTACTAATTGTCTTTCTTCACCTTAAAAATAAAAATTGCAGTGTTGAAACCTATTCACGATCAAAATTAAAAGCGTTTTCCCCTTATAATCGCAGCTTATGAAAATTATTTTTGACATAACCTAATATTTTTCACCGTTTTCCACAGTGTTTAAAATTTTTCTTTACTGTTTATAATTGGTTAAGAATATTTGTTGTTGAATCTTGATTTTTTTCCTTGTTTTCAAAGAAAAATCCAGATCACAATTTGTTTTTTAGTGAAGTCATTTAGTAATTGATTGCAATGGACTATTTCAACATTTCAAACTAATTTTTGCGATGCAGAAATAAAGTTTAAGCTTGAAAATACGTATGCCCTCAACACAGTCTCTCTACCCTGTGTCTACCGACGGTAGCTCGCGGTATAAAGCATTCAGATATGAATGGCATGTATGAATGTATAGCATGTATGAAATGAATGAATGAATGGCATGTATGGCGGCCGATATATCCAAAATTTCCCGTGGGTGATTTCCCGTGAAATTTCTAATGAGAATTTCCCGTGAGAATTTCTAATTCTCACGATGGCTGAAGCACTCGCAGCTTTTCAATGAAAATTACGACCTTTAACTGATTTAAATCTACTATTTACGATTGACAATTGCCTAAATGATAGCCCTTTTCGAGATTTATTTACCATAAGTGATATCGTTTTATATCATATTTAGTACCTATAATCATGACGGTGAACAGTGTAATTAGGCGGGCGCAAAAGATTCGGTTCATTGCGGCTAATAAATGTATTGATGTCTCCCGGCGGAAAGGTCAGGTATCAGAATTATGGTACGATAGATCACATTTGTAATGGTTGCGCATAAAGTTGCTCTGATTATGAAATTTTGGTAAGTTTTTACAGTTACTTAATCAAAGATTACCTTTTCCTGTCAGTTTTCAATGCCCACTTCTAAAGCTATCTTCACCAGCACCTCTACCGTCCATTCCCTGCCACTGCCTCAAGTTACTTCCTCGTGACACTTTTAAATGTAATTTCTTCAATTTCCTCGGCATTCAATTAAATCCATCCTCCGGCTAAAAGGATAATCCCTCGAGGTCTTCTCTGATCTTTGCTGTAGTTTTCTTTGTTGCTCCCAATTCCCTTGCAAGTCTTCAAACTCTCAAAAATAAAATCGCGGCTCATGCAACCCCTGAAGCGGCGTCTCGTTTTCCCAGCGAAGGAACGCCTGGCAAGCTCGCCCATCTTCGCCCCTTTCATTTAACAAAAATTAAATTTGCTAATGATCGAGCTGTTTTTTTCGCATTTTCTTATTTATGGAAAAAATGCACTATTGTGCTCGCCATGTCCGCCTGTCTGTCCGTCCGTCCGTCCGTGACCTCAAGTTTTCGTCGGCGAGAAAATGCGCTCTCTGTCACTCACTGCAGTGAGTACTGAGTTTCCTTTTTGTGTCAATTCAACTTTATCTACAGTATCTCTTGACCCGATAAAGACACCGTTTCCGGCGGCTATTTGGTAAAATTTTAGCTCCAGCCCGCAACCATGAGAAAGTTTAACTTTAAACTTGACGCTTAATTTTTTTAAATGTCTTTGAAAACTCGTTTCAAGCAGTCGCTCTAGAACTCCTTAACCGATTTTCAAGTACACGAACAAATTAAATTACATTTTCAGCTTCAGGTATGACGTGAAGAGTTGAACTTACCATGCATCTCTGCGCTGCAAGTTCGTATATACTGTATGCTCAATTTATCGAGAACTTTTTGGCATCTGGGTGGGTCGGAATGACTCGTATTACAGCCTAAGATTAATAAGAATCCCCGAAAAGTTTAATTTCGAGACTCATGAATGATGAGTAATTAAAAATATGTAAATTTGTATTAGGTGTGCGTGTAACTCAACTTATCGGTAAATTGAGGAAATTTTTGTTTGATTAATGTTGTAGCAAAAGCAACAGGAAGAAGAACTCTGTTTATCCCCGTGTTTCCGCAGCCCGAAAGTCTGAGGCACTAAAGCAACGTCCTTGATAACCTTACCCCAACCATAGCGAGTCTCTCGCAGAGTCTCTATCATACCTTAATTTTTGTTAGGGTGCCTGCGTCGGTGCTGACCACGATAGTAGTGGTGGTCTGCATTACGCCCAAGTGAGGAGGGTGGACTGTTTTAACACATGTGAAAAGCAAAAACACACTGTTAAAAAAATTTCCGTTAACGGTATTATACCGGCGTTTCAGTGGCCGGTCGGCACGTGAAAAGAAATACCTTGTCGCCGTTTTTATTCTAATTTACACTAGAAATCCGTAAAACATCTGATAAAAACGGCGAAACAGTTTATTTTCACGGGGCGACCGGCCACTAGAATGCCCGTGGAACTTTTTTCGCCGTTTTTCCTAACAGTGCACTTCCGGACCTGTCAGTTGTCTCGCACTTAAACACTCAGCAGGTTCTGATAATCGAAATCCCGTAGGATGTATATTTTTTTGCTTAACGATGAAATTGCTACTTTTAACGGAGAATGCAGGATATAATAATTGATGTGGATTAAGGTGAAGGCTAATAGTTGACGAGGTCGCCATTTGCCCCCACGAGGCCCTGAATGCTAAATTCTGTAAAACGAGTCTTTAGCGGAAGGAATAAAACCATGCGCTGTATGAGTGTGCGGCTCCTGCAAAATTGACACAGCAAGTGAATTAGTAAAGTAACTGGTAGATTGGAAGTAACCCTAAATTTTTTACGTTTATAAACCTGCTAGCAAGATTTCTAAAACGCTCATTATTGACCCCTTAAGTAAATATTTTCTCTGTACCAAATATTTTAACATATGACTTTATATTTATCTAGAATGTACTTAGGAATGTATACTCAATTCGACCAGAATGATTGAATTAGGATTACGTGTATTATTGAAATGAATAATTGATTATGTCGAAACTCGTGCAAGGGAAATATTTAATTTTACGCTAAAGTTAAGCTGTGTAAAAATTTCGGTGTCGTTTTTCGTCTCGTTATATAGGGAATAAATTTATCTCACTAAATTAATATCTTTCTAAATATAATATCTCACTAAATTTACTCACAAATGAAACAATTAAACAACTTTTGACAGTAAACTTTTTATTCCTACGCAAAGTACGAGCATCCGACAAATAATTTGAGTGATTAGAGCTGCTGAACTGGACACATTTGTTGATAACTGCTGTGGATTAATTGGGAGCGGAGGAAAGGTTGAATTTTTTGACCTGATTTAAGGTATATTAGAAGCGGATTAAATCTTGAATTTGTTGTTAAAATTTGCTGTGGATTAGAAGCGGATGAATAGTTAAATTTGTTGTAAAGAATTAATATATCTTCGACTTTGCTGATTGTTTATTTTCTTTAAGAAAATAGAATTGACTTTCCTCTAGACACTTTTAAAATGTTTTTCTCGGGATTGGAAAGGAAATTATTCCTTGGTGATGCGACAACTTCTAGATTACAAGTGAAATAATGCGCTAATAGACATACTCTAAGAATACAGTTTTAGACAATGCAGTTTATGCCCATCGCTAATACATTATCACAATACGTATGTTGTGATAACGACCATATTGATGGGTTCTTATAACTAATAAACGATTTAACATGTAAATAAATGAGTGTCATTTATTATACCGCAGTGAAGCTATGGACGAAGAAACATAATATCCATATTTAGTGCCCATGCATATTGTTTGCAATTATTTACATCATTATTATTATTTCAATTCAGATACATCATATCCTTGTAATTGTTACATTCCTGTTAATATCTCATGATAAATAACCCCCTCTTCTCTACCCCCCCAGGGGGGAGGTGTTGTATTTATTACATTCCTGTTAATATCTTATGATAAATAACCCCCCCTTTTCTTTATCCCCAGGGGGGGAGGTGGGGGCGAGCGTGGGGGCGTCGGGGGTGGGCGACAAGACGCTGCCGTCACCGTGGCAGACCGCGGCCGCCGCCAGCTCCGAGCAGCAGGCAGCTCAGGTCTGTTGTTGTCTTATTGTGTTGTGTTGTGTTGTTGTGTTGTGCTGTGTTGTTGTGTTGTTTGCTGTGTAGAAGCAGCAGGCAGCTCAGGTCTGTTGTTGTCTTGTTGTGTTGTGTTGTGTTGTGTTGCGCTGTGCTGTTGTGTTGTGTTGTGTGCTGTGTTGTTTGCTGTGTAGAAGTAGCAGGCAGCTCAGGTCTGTTATCTTGTTGTGTTGTGTTGTGTGCTGTTGTTGTGTTGTGTTGTGTGCTGTTGTTGTGTTGTGTTGTGTGCTGTGTTGTTTGCTGTGTAGAAGCAGCAGGCAACACAGGTCTGTTGCTATCTTATTGAACTTGTGCTGTGTTATGTTGTGCTGTTGTGCTGTTTTGTGTTGTGTTGTGTGTTGTTTTGTTGTGCTGTGTTGTGTGCTGTGTTGTGTTGTGTGCTGTGTGCTGTGTTGTGGGCTGTGTAGACATTCTTATTTGTGATGTTTTTGATTAAGTGAGTTTAATTGTGTTGTATAAATGTTTATTTGTGTTAATTTTGATTTAGCGGGATCATTTGCGCTGTGTAGACGTGCTTACTTGTGTGGTTTTTTACTCTGAGCTTCTGTGTCTGTAATAAATGTTTACCTGTGTTGATTTAGATTTCTTCAGCTAATGTGTGGTGTATAAATGCTTATTTATGTTGTTTTTCTATTTAATATGTTTTAGTTTGTGTGTGCCCATTAGTTGTTGCTCATTCTGCTTGCTTACGATTAAGAACTGAGCTCAGTTTTAGATTGCCCAGATTTTTATTATTATTTTATGTTTGTTTTAAGCTTTGTTATGTCAAGTTACGTCGTTTTGCGTTGAGTTATGCCGTGTTAAGTTATTTTACGTCATGTTACGTTGATTTATATCACACTCGTATTGCGTTATTTTACCTCATGTTACATGTTACGTCGTATTTGTCGTTTTAATTTTTGAAACGTCATGTTACGTTATGATACGACAAATTACATTGTTTCGTAATGTTTTGTTAAGTTGCAGCATGTTACGTTATTATATGTCTAGCTAGTTTGTCATGCTTTACATTACATCATGTTTCGATAGGTTGCGTCATCTTACATTATTTTACGTTATTTTACGTCATTTTAAGTTATTTACGTTATGTTTCGTCAACTTATTTCATGTTAGGTCAAGCTAAAACGTCGTGCTACATTCATTTGGTCATGCCCTCAAGCCACGTCATGCCACATTCCGCTACCTTGCGCCACGTCATGCCACATTACGCTACCTTGCGCCACGTCATGTCACATTACGCTACCTTGCGCCACGTCATGCCACATTACGCTACCTTGCGCCACGTCATGTTGGGGGACGTTGGTATTGAAGGGACGTTGGTGTTGTGGGACGTTGGTGTTGTGGGACGTTGGTGTTGTGGGACGTTGGCGTTGTGGGACGTGGGTGTTGGGGGGGTGGTTTGTGTGTCGAAGAGGGCCGTTGGTGTGTGTGTGTGTGTGTAGGGGACGTTGGTGTGTGTGGGGGACGTTGATGTTGTGGGACGTTGGTGTTGAGAGGACGCTTTATGTGTGTCGAAGAGGAACGTTGCTGTGTGTATCGGGGACGTTGATGTGTGAAAGTGGGAAGCTGGTGTGTGTGGGGGATGGTTTGTGTGTGTGGAGGGAGACGCTGGTGTGTGGTGTTTGTGTTGACCGAGTGTAGAGTTTTTGAAGGCCAGCTCGTATAAGTGAGGAGGACGGCGCGGGTGGACGGTGGCAGGACTTGGCTTCTTGCCCAACCTCGGCTGTCCGCAAATGCTGTCCATAATTCACGAGTCACGCTTTACGACCATTTCAATGGCGGATAAAACACGCTTCGTGGCTCCCGACAAATTGCCGCTGGTCTTCTTTCCTGTTATAATAATAACAATGATCACTAGTATTGCTTTAGCTGAATTCGGTCTGTGCTGTGGAACTGCGTATTTATTAACATGTATTTAAAATGAGATATTGCCGTAATAAACATTTCCAGTTCATGATACCATCAACGGTAATCAATGATGATTACAAGGACTAGTAGGGATGCGGACTACACTTTTGCTTGAAATATTCGTGTTGGGGTTTGAAATAAGAGTTGAGGAGAAATTACGTTGTCCGTGATTGTCCATTAAAAGACATTACGTGAGTGCTTTCCTTATGTGATCCCTTGCAGTCCATCTGTGTACTTTCACCCTTCATATGTGCTCTCGCCTTCTGTGTGCTATCGCTTTCCATATGAAGGCTCGTGCCATCCATATGTGTGACCTTGCTTACATTATTGTGTGTGACCTCGCTTGTGTTTATTGTGTGTGTGTGACCTCGCTCACTTTATTGTGTGACCTCCCGCCTTCCCTGAGTGTCCTTCGCCTTCCATATGTGTACTCTTGCTGTCCATGCATATGCTTAGGTCCTCCATCTGTGTAATTTCACTCCCCTTGTCTCTTCTTACTCTCCATATGTGCACCTTTGCTGTAAAAAGAATCAACACTACGAAATATTTTTGCAGTGTTCGTTTAGTTGAATTTCTTGAAGTCTTGCGACGTCGTTTTCTAATCCTTCATCCTTCAACGTCGCGAAGCTTCCTGCCGACGCGAACCAGTCTGTTGAAGTCTCGACCTTGCAGAACCTGTGTATAACTGAAGAACAATTACTGTCCCGATCGACTAATGGGGTTGTTCGTAATCTGCTGACAGGTGTGATTATTTTTCTTTAGAAAAATTCACATCGACTGAAAAGTTTGCCTGGAGTATCGTGTTTTTTTAGGTCAGCAAATTGAATTGTCCAATTTGACCTGTTTATTATTTTGCAATCGAATTATTTTAGTTCTGATTCGTTATCTGTGTTGCAGGACCTTTCTTTTTCATCATCATCAAGTTTCTGAAGCTGCTGCTTCTTGGACCCAACGAAAGTTTTCTCGACTCTTAATCTGGCGAAAACATTTATTTCATTCGGACACAGGCTTCAAATTCAATTATTATTTGAAACACCACGTGGATGTACCTTTTAAATGTTGGCCTTACTTATATATAAATTAATATCGCTTCAATGAGATTCTTACTTATTGTAACTTTCGGATGAACACAGACCGGTAAGACGAAAAATATCTATCGCAATGATGTATTTTCAAAAGTTTTTATTTAATATCATCTTGAAACCACTATATTAAGTACACATCTAAATTCTCTTCAAAAAGAAAAAGAGTCTATCGGTAAGGCTGTTTATAGAACCAGTGCGGTTAGCTATATACATATATTGTAGTTTCATCTGTTGGATAAGCTCGCATGTACAGGAGTTGCGTGTTTCACTTGTGTAGAACCTGTAGCCCTCGGCCGGTCGACTGTGCAGTTACAGTCACAGTAAAATTTTAAAGTGTCACTTAAATCTAGGTATATAAATCAAGGCTTCCGTTGCTAAAAGGAAAAATTTCAAATATAGTTAAATAACGTTGGCCATACCGCATTAATAAATAAATAGTATTGTCTGGCATTACATGTATCGTCTCGCCCATTTCAAGACCACGCGCCATTGCTCTGCTGTTTGTCATTCTACAAATCTTCACTTTTTCCAACTGTAGGTGCCTTTTTTCAAAATATACAGTGGGGGGAAATAAATATTCGTACACTTGAAAAATCGTATTTTAATGTATGTAAGTACACAAACTGAACAGGAAAAGTGATTTATATTATGTATAGAGTGTATTCAACCAAGTATTAAATTAAAATAATGCGGATTTATTGTTTTGTACGAATACTTTTTTCACCCGAAAAGTTAACATGTTGCATTGTTTTTTGTTGCATTGAGATTTAATTTCTTTTGATAGTATTTTTGAATACTATGCGTCTCTATACATAATTTAAATCACTTTTCCTGTTAAGTTTGTGTACTTACATACATTAAAATACGATTTTTCAAGTGTACGAATATTTATTTCCCCCCACTGTAAGCGCGATGTATGGAAGATAATTTAATTATTGAGAATACCGACTCTCTAATTACGAAATCACTTAATTAGCACAGAACTCAAGCTTACTTCATCATAATTCACGTAAGCAATAATATATGGATAGCGATAAAACAACCAGACACGGAATTTTTTCTTACGGCAAGTTGAAGTATTTTTTCTCGCCTGCTTCTAGATGATCTTGCGAATGGACGTGCTAGCGTCGTACTTCTTATAAGAACTTCTCGTTAACAATGTAAATGCGGAAGAATTTTGTGCAGAAGTGCAAATATTGACAATGAGGATTTTTAGAGAAAATTCCTGTTACATTGATTGCCCCCTACCATAAATTTACTAAAAAAATTAGACGTCAGACTCATTTTAAAATTGGTAGATAAATTAATTGCGGTTGGCTTTTGTCCTCCGTTGAAACGCGTGCCCAGAACATTCCGCTGAAACTTTCATGTATGGAGTTTACTGAGATGAAAAATATTAATGTAAGTGACAAGTAGAAATACGTATTTTTGTCTAAAAAATCAACATTTTTGATTGATATAATCATTCCAATATCACATTAGCAGCTATCCTCTTATTCTTTGTTAACATTATATTTTTTCATTAGTTTATCTGATTGTTGACTCCAAATTAGCTACGTCTAATAAAGAGTGAAATAATTTTGATGTATGGTATATAAACTAAATACATTTATTATGGTACAAGTTTGATCAGCTTCTCATTTGAATCGGTAATTTTGTATTTTTTTGTGCTCGTTATTCATATAATTTATAAGTTCAATTTTTTTAATGACGTTGTTTTGACATTTGAGTTTAAGTATAATTTTTTTGGGGAAAACAGAGACAGCGTGTCAGGTGAATTTGAATCATGAAGCTCGTCAGGTATTTTTAAGGCGTTGCATACATCATCCACCAGCCTTTTTTGGTGACCTGGAAAGAAATTTATTAAAAAAGAAGGGAATTTATTTATTATTACCTCGTCGTCTACTATTCTTTTTCATTTGTTGGGCCTTTATTGTAGCGAAATCAAATGCTGATTAATTTGATTGTAAAGCTCATAAACTCGCGATTCTCCAAGGGATCCTTCTGTTAAGAATATGCTCGTTTGTTACGATGTAGTCAAAAAATATAACGCTATTTTTAATTTTTTCATACGATGTTTCTAGACGTATGTATTTTTTTACTCTTTATCTCAATAAAATCTGGCCCAAATGTGCAGAAGATGGCGTAGTTTCTTCCGCACACTGTAAAAAATGTTCACATTCAATGAAATTTTCATAGCCAACCTTCACAATACTTGAATCTTGACTCTATTCATTTGCATTAAATGGCGTATTCTACTAATTTATTAAAATAATACACAAATATAACCTCAACAATATTTTTGTTCGCACTGATGATTACTGGGCGGCCCAGTGGTTACAGTTCAGAGTATCAAGTTTGGCGCAGAGAGGTGCGGGTTCGATCCCAGCTCTGTGCGCCAGTTTCTGGTCAGAATCGGCAAGGAGGCCGGGCGGTTAAGCGCAGCAGAATTGTAGCAGTGAGTTGCGAGTTCGAGATCGCATCAAGCTGTGAACGTTCTGCGATATTAAGGATCGGCGACAGGCCTACGGCCTAATAAACGCTGAAACCGCTATTATTATTTATTATTAAGAAACTGTATTGAACTTCTGTGCAGGCACGGAAGCGGCCGCCCCCGCGTCGACCCGTGGGCAAGCCTCCGGAGAACAGACCTCAGCGCGCCCTCTTCTGCCTCGGCCTTAAGAACCCTATACGGAAGCTCTGTATAGACGTCGTCGAGTGGAAGTATCCTTTATTGTTGCTGTATGAAACGTACTTTATTGCTGTATTGTAGTGAATATAGACGTCGTCGAGTGGAAGTATTCTTTATTGCTCGGTATTTTATTTATTTGATATCCTTTAAACGCTCGGTATTTACGGACGTTGCAAACACGTTCCTACATCCATGAACGTAAAACAGACGTAATCAAGCATTGCCACTTGCGCTCTAGTTTCTCGAGACCCAAGCTGTAGGCATATTACAACACTCTAGACACCGACACTCACGCTCTAGATTCTATAGACCTGTGCTGTAGGCATATCACAGCCCTCTAGACATCGACCCTCACGCTCTAGATTCTATAGACCTGTGCTGTAGGCATATTACAGCCCTCTAGACACCGACACTCACGCTCTAGATTCTATAGACCTGTGCTATAGGCATATTACAGCCCTCTAGACATCGACACTCACGTTCTAGATTCTATAGACCCACGCTGTAGGCATATTACAGCACTCTAGACACCGACACTCGCTCTCTAGATTCTATAGACCCTTGCTGTAGGTATATTACAGCACTCTAGACATCGACATTCACGTTCTAGATTCCTTAGACCCACGCTGTAGGCATATTACAGCCCTCTAGACACCGACACTCACGCACTAGATTCTATAGACCCACGCTGTAGGTATATTACAGCCCTCTAGACACCGACACTCACGCTCTAGATTCTATAGACCTGTGCTGTAGGCATATTACAGCACTCTAGACACCGACACTCACTCTCTAGATTCTATAGACCCACGCTATAGGCATATTACAGCCCTCTAGACACCGACACTCACGCTCTAGATTCTATAGACCTGTGCTGTAGGCATCAAAGCGACATCTTCGTTGGGAGTTCATCGGCCGGAAGAACGCTTCTCTGCCCGGAACGTTGATATGCCAGCTTCGGTATTGGAAGTCAATGCGTGGATTGCGTCGCAACGTCCAAAAATTTACAGAAAATTTCAGGCGATAGCTTTGACTGCTCTGAGCAGTGCATGCGTATCATTAATAGACGACCGGCTTCTCTTCCTAATAGCTACTCCTATTGTAATTAATATATTAACTTCATTGACACCATATTTTAGTTAGTAATTAATTTGTTAGCATGGAACGCTAGAATAATAATAATAATAGCGATTTCAGTGTTTATTAGGCCATAGGCCTGTCGCCGATTCTCAACATCGCAAAACATTCACAGCATTTTGTAACTGCATTTTTGTCATTTTTGAATAACTTTACATGAACAGCTTTTCTGAACACCGTGTTTTTTTTGTGGCCCTCGTAGTATTATGTTCTGGCCCGCGTTATTTTATTTTTGGACGACGCGATATAAACATTGTTATGTGTTGTGCTGGAGGCCTGTTTTCTTAACGATTTGATCAGACCCTTCGAATGGTTCATCTTGCTGACCATCTTCGCCAACTGCGTCGCCTTGGCTGTGAACACACCGTTCCCTAACAGCGACTCTAACAAGACCAACGCCATGCTTGTGAGTAGTATAGTATAGTATAGTATAGTATAGTATAGTATAGTATAGTATAGTATCTTCGGCATTAAAGAATAGGCCTGGATAGGCCTGTCGCCGATTCTTGTGCTTTTCTTGACTAGACTGGCCTTTTGATCAGATCTTTTCAAAGGACCGTAGATTTAAAATAGCTTCTAGATATCAGTTGTTCCGTAGAATTAGAATACGAGGCATTTTAAGACTAAACATGCTCATGCATGGCCTTGTCTAGTCTGTTCTTAAACGCGTTAGTAGTAGTGCTAGTGATTCACCACACTTCTCACCACCTCACCGTTAAAGTAGCAACGTTACCAGGGCTCCCAGGCTGCGCGCGACTGTGTCGATCCTGCCATTCGTCTCGTCATTATTAAAAAGAACGCATCAAAAAGTATTTGTTGAAAGAGACAACTTGTCGTTCCCAAAAATTACTTTTGAATAAACACTCATTGAAAATTTACAGACGCGGCAGCTTCTGATTGGATTACCAGAAGCTGGGGCGACTCTAAATTTTGTTAGGGCAATAACTGTTCACGGCCTGTTACAACTTGTTGCTTGCTTGTATATGTGTATTTTAGTGGTGGGATCAACTGGATTTTCGCGAGATCACAGAACGAGGTTGTGAATGAAGCCTAGAGATTACAGAACGATCTGCAGCTTTGTTCCAACAATCTTGTTATGTCTAAAACTAATGAGTAGATTTGTTTCGTTCTAAGGAAGTGTTCACAAATCTAATTATGCAATTCTTCTTGAATTGAATGAGTGATAGGTAAGCAACTCAAAAAGCTATTATAACTGCAGTACTCTTATAAACTGTCTAGAATATTTGTGAAAACGCTGCTAAACAGTCCAGTTTATTGCAAGATATCTTGCAACCGTTGCAGTGAACTACTTGAAAATCCGACTTACGTTAGGTAATGCACTGCTTGCAAGGTCGCGCCAGCAGCCTATAGTCCAATATCTCGTGCGCAGTAAATGCACAGCTAAAATGCATCGCGAATCTCGTAAAAATCTTGCCGACTGCATATTTTATGGTTTTGTATCGCCCATCCCAGCAATAATGGATAGTCTTGGCAGCAGCGCAGGATAGCCGGGAAAGAGGTCCTATAGGAGACCTTCTCTGCAGTGCTCGGGAGCCTCGGTCGGATTTTAATATGGATTGCTGAGTGCTGAAATCTGTCAATCTTGTGTGCTGTTCATGTGAATAGAATAAAAGCTTAGGGTTTCTGCACAGTTTCTAAAGCGTTTATTTAGTTAGATTATCCACAAATGCCGATTGTAACGGATTGCCTTCAACGAAAGGCTGTGACTTTTGGACAATTTTGTTTTCCCGGATTTATTATTCGTCCGCGTATGACAATCCGAATTGGGATTGAGGTAATTCTTTTTACTTTCTGAGTTAATGAAAAATTCTAGATTATTATGCAGGAATCTTACAAGTTTTCCCGTTTGTTGAGGCAAATTAATAATTTGGTGGCAGCTCCTATATATTTATTTGTTTTATTGTAGTTACTTTCAAGGCGGAGAGAGTGCCCGGCTCTTGTAGCGCATGGATTACTTGGGCCGGTATAAATAATTCATTTTTTAGGAATTAGATGAAAACTTCGGAGACAACATGGCAGCCAAACTGACCTCAAATGGTTATATGCTTATGCATGGTTTCAATTCAATTAAAATTTATATCAATTTATGAACAGCCTACGGTGTGTTGAAGTTGAAGCATTGAACATCAATTTCATGCTAATTAAAGATTTTAGTATTCGCTGATTTTAGTATCCGTGTCCAAGTATTATGTCTTCTCCTCACAGGATTATTTTAAAAAATTGAAGTAATTTACAGGACAATCAACGACTATCAAGTCATCGTTCAATGTTTGGTTTGGCGAGTCAACACGACGATTGAGTAATTTCATTACCAATTTTTAAAATTGTTTTTCTTGATTTTGTGCATCAGACTTCATGTATTATTTGGAAGCTCGAAAGAAAGGTTTCATAGTACATTTTATTACACTATCTCAATATCATTTTATTACAATATTGATTAATCAGTATAAAAATATAAATATATAATCAGTATAAAAATATATAAGTTTCTTACGCAAAAAATTAAGAATTTATACGACATACTAACAACTAAAGTATATATGCCTATTATAGGGATATACGTAAAAATTTAAGTTGAAACACCTCAGCAAATAATTTCAATTTTCTGACGTAGATTCTGTTCTACGTCAATAACAATTTCAATGTTCTGAGTGGTTTGTAAATTGATTGTAATTTCAAACATTTAACCTGTAACTGGACCATGCAGGAGGAGATCGAGATAATTTCAATGTTCTGACGTATTGAGTGGTTTGTAAATTGATTGAAATTGCAAACAATTAACCTGTAATTGGACCATTACAGGAGGAGATTGAGATCATCTTCATGGTAATCTTCACGCTGGAGTGCGGTATGAAGATACTGGCATACGGCTTCGTTATGCATCAGGGCGCATACCTCAGATCCGTGTGGAACTTCATCGATTTTCTCATCGTCGTCATCGGGTGAGTCATCGATGAGTTCAACATGAGTGCTCGCTAATTTACATCAAGAATTTATTATTATAATGGAAATGTGTGCTGCTTGATTGTTGATGAAAATTTTACGTTGTTCTGTATTGCAAATGATAGATGAGCCGGTAAATTGATATGAGTGTGATGAGTGATGGAGAGTGATGGTGTGAGTGATGGCATGATGTGTCGTTGACACTATTTAATTTATTGTACGATGAAGCCGTGTGAAACTGTGAATAATTCTGCGATGAAGCCGTGTGAAGCTGTGAATAATTGTGCGGCGAAGAAGCAGTGTGAAACTGTGAATAATTGTGTGATGAAGCCGTGTGAAACCGAACGTGTGATTGGCTCTACAGTTGCGGATCAACTTTGTACGCCCAGCTGAATAATTGTATTGCCATGTACTAATTTATTTCACCTACATTACACTGTCGCTTATTTCGTTATTCATCGTCTACACTGTTAGAAAAATTAACGTTAACGGTATTACAGGCGTTTCAGTGGCCGGTCGGCACGTGAAAAGAAACACCGTGTCACCGGTTTTATTCTAATTTAACACTATAAATCCGTAAAACATCTGATAAAAACGGCGAAACAGTTTATTTTCACGGGGCGACCGGCCACTAGAACGCCAGTGGGACCGTTTTCTCGCCGTTTTTTCGAACAGTGTAATTGCGTCATCAATATGAATATTTATTTTACATTTATGCCCATTATAGTTTACTTTTCCTGTGCGATAGCAAGGTTGATTGTGTTACTTCTATCTACATTTACTTATGTGCCTAAGTGTTATGGTTTAGGCTAAACTCCTGAGTGCAAATTGTGTCTTTAGTTTCATTGTTTATTAGTTTGTTTTAGCGTAAATCTCCAACCCCCAGAAGCTCGGCCCTATATCGTTATGGTCTAGTAATTATATGGTCTAGTAATTATGTATGGTCTAATACATATGGTCTAGTAATTATCTCCCGTATATATTAAACTTAGAGAAATTGCAAACTGGTTACTGCAGTCAAGCTTCAAAGCCGCGGATTCTTGAAACAGATTCGGATTGCTTCTGAACCTATCAGTACTGAGCTAACTTATTTATATATGAGTCGCACTATCTTCTGTTCATTAGGGCTTCAAAATTTAAATATAATCCCTATAATGATTATTAATATGTGCTGCGAACAGTTATATAATATAGATGAATGCTCCTGTTTCGCATTTATTTCCATCACATCCTCATCAAAACGCTGACCAAAATTTGTATCGTAAAATACTACAAAGATGTTCACTTTCTGAATCTTGATATTGAATATGTACTTAATAATTATATGAATATTAATAATATATTAATAATAATAATAATACTAATAATAATAATATGAATCTCAATAATTTGTTAATATGTAATTAAAATTGTCGACTTGACTTAATCATTTTATTGTTAAAGATCTTCACTTGCTGAATCTTCATTCATTGATTAATATGTACATAAAATTCTTGACTTGACTTAATCATTTAATTATTAATTATATTTATTAATTAAGTGTGTTATGACTCAGGCTCATCAGCGCCGTGCATCTTCATTTCTATTAATATATACAAGAAATTATTGACATAACTTAATCATTCTATTATTAATTATGTTTATTAATTAAGTATGGTCATGGTTCAGGCTGATCAGCGCCGTGCTGGACATGATCATGACGGAGTCTGCGGAGACAAGCTTTGACGTGAAGGCCTTACGCGCCTTCAGGGTGCTGCGCCCCCTACGCCTGGTGTCGGGGGTACCTAGTGAGTGGGGGGCTAGTGAGGGGGGCCTTACGCGCCTTCAGGGTGCTGCGCCCCCTACGCCTGGTGTCGGGGGTACCTAGTGAGTGGGGGGCTAGTGAGGGGGGCCTTACGCGCCTTCAGGGTGCTGCGCCCCCTACGCCTGGTGTCTGGGGTACCTAGTGAGTGGGGGGCTAGTGAGGGGCTGTCTCTTATACACATCTAGATGTGTATAAGAGACAGCATGATAACAGCCTGCATGATAACAGCCTGCATGATAACAGCCTACATGATAACAGCCTACATGATAACAGCCTGCATGATAACAGCCTACATGATAACAGCCTACATGATAACAGCCTGCATGATAACAGCCTGCATGATAACAGCCTGCATCATAACAGCCTACATGATAACAGCCTACATGATAACAGCCTGCATGATAACAGCCTGCATCATAACAGCCTGCATGATAACAGCCTGCATCACATGACGGCCTGCATCACATGATAACAGCCTGCATCACATGACAGCCTGCATCACATGATAACAGCCTGCATCACATGACGGCCTGCATCATATGACAGCCTGCATCACATGACGGCCTGCATCACATGATTACAACCTGCATCACATGATAACAGCCTGCATCACATGATGGCAGCCTGCATCACATAACAGCCTGCATCACATGATAACAACCTGCATCACATGATAACAACCTGCATCACATGATAACAGCCTGCATCACATGACAGCCTGCATCACATGACGGCCTGCATCACATGACGGCCTGCATCACATGACAGCCTGCATCACATGACAGCCTGCATCACATGACAGCCTGCATCACATGCCAGCCTGCATCACATGACAGCCTGCATCACATGACAGCCTGCATCACATGACAGCCTGCATCACATGACAGCCTGCATCACATGCCAGCCTGCATCTAGGAATAGGCTTCTAATATCAATCTTGAAACTCGTGATGATATTCCTTAAAACATATTCAATGCAGTTACAGTTTGAGTAAATCATTAGTAATCAATCGTTATGAGTACTCTTTTCTTGATAACTCGTCATATTATACGATGGTTTATCATTGGCATAATCTTTGTACTCGCCTGCTAGCTTAAGTGTGGACCAATGCTGGTCTTTCCCATTTGCTGTGGATTATTAAATTAATGACATTAATAGCATTGTAAATTTGAGATAATAATTATCTAATTATGCGAGAAAACTTTAGTCCCTATAACGAAGCGCACGAAACATATTGCTCCATTTCTCTATAATGAAAATGTATTATTTATTGCATTTTCGGGCAATGTGTAACGAAACATATTGTTCAATATCTCCATAATGAAAAATTTTCCTTATTTATTGCATTTTCGGGAAATGTTTAAACCAAGAATGAAGTTGATGAAAAATGTATTTCAGGGGAGCAGATGGAGGGCCCTCATCCATGCAGCAAGGAAGATGGACAAGGTTTTAAGTGTACGACATTAAAGCTATACAACTACACGGGCGCCGGCCCGTACTATGTATGCGAAGACCGATGGGAAGGCCCGAATTTCGGCATCACTAATTTCGATAACTTCGGTCTGGCCATGTTAACTGTTTTCCAGTGCATCACCATGGAGGGGTGGACCGATATGATGTATTTCGTGAGTAGATTTTGTGTTTCCTAGTGGTTATCAATATCTATTAGATTTTATTCATCTTGATTTTTTGTGATTTAGATGACTTTTTTTGTACTTTTTTCAGGGAATATGAATTTGTCTACGTGGTGGTCGTTAATTTTTATTGTTGCCCGCTATTTATGTGGATGTTGTAGATTTATGGAAGAATTTTATACAGAGAGCTCAGCTCCAAGTGCAAGGAAAGCTTGCCCACAATCGCAAGTTAATTTTAAAATTATGAAAGTTAAAATCGGGATGGAAACTTCCATGGATTAAAATGTTACGGAATGTCCTGTTATATTTCACCGTCTGCCCCTCTTCCTCTTCTGACGTAGTTAAGTTACCTACGTAATAATCAAATTACCTCGTAAAATTTATCTTGAGAATTTATTGCATGACGATTTTAACAGGAAAACATCAGTTAATTATCGCTGACCGCAAGCACAATTTGGTTTAATGTGGCCGCTTCCCGGTTATCAAATAAAACTTGCTATTAAAAAAAATTTGTTGGTTTCCACCAAGTCTTACAACTTTTTTGTCTGGTCATCGGAATTTTTTTAACGATGATATCTTGTCACTGTTACCGCAACGGAATACTTCGGAGCAGGATGACTTTTTATTATGGATTATATGATAGATTTCTCGGTCCAGCAGCTCATTTAAATAATTAGTGCAAATCTAACTAGATGAATAACTGAATGTATTGCGAGAAAAAACTGTTACAGGCTCGTAACTTTGCCACAGTCTTAACTTTTTGTCGAGGAAGTCGGTGAACACACAAATGCAGCTTCTCTTGCTGCCACTTACTGGAAGCTGGAACGGATTTAGGAAAACGGATGGCGTTACTTCTGCCAGCACTGGAATTGATTGTGAAAGTCGAGAATTTCTGTCTGTCTTTGTACATGTTAAATTTATTACTACATATTTTCTTTGAATAAATTGAATAAAATTTATCAATATATAAATTGATGAACTATTGAGCTATTTGTTGATGTGAAAATTTTTTATGGCTCTAATTTTTATAGACTTGCAGGTGTTTTGTCTACATTAGTGTTTAGATATTCATCTCGATAGGCATTTGAGCTGAGCATCTCATGTATGTCAAATAGTTTAATAGCTCATGATTATATCAAATTTTCAATGACCTGCTGACAAAACTGTGTCAAACTTTACTCGAGTTACCCCTGATAATAATCCCTCTTCAATTAATTAGTAAAGCTCAAGACTACTCAAGACTACATTAGGAAAGCTTATGCATGTTTATGCGACAAGTTTTTCTTTACATTTTTCTGAATGAGAACTAAAAGTTCGATGGCATTTCAACTATACCGATGTAGTTTGACATCGCTGAGCCACATCAAGATATTAGAGTTTTCAGGAGCCATTGACGATGTCATGTTATTGAAAAAAATATTTATTTTACATGTACCTAGTCTTGCTTTTACTACCAAGACTGCCAGCAAATGATGCACGCACAGTTTCTGTGCATCATTTGATTATCCAGGGAACTTATAGATTTTGTGAATGCTTTGATTATTAATGTACAGATACATTTAGATTATTCGATTGACTAGACCGATAGAAATATGTGCTTGCTTTCTGGAGTTTACATAGATCGATGAAACATTTTTTGATTGCTGCAGGTATAGATCGATGACATATTTTTCTGATTGCTGGAGGTTATAGTTCGATGGCTTATTTCCTGGATTTCTAGAGGTTATGGATCAATAGAATATATATGTGCTGGATTACGGGAGGTTATATGCAAGGGTATTTTAAATGATGGACCTAATTTCATAATTTTCTATTTATTTAGGAATATATTCAAAATGAATAGGTAGTTTATAGAGAAATGGAAAAAGAAAAATAGAATTTTTTACATATTTTAAAATGTTCAATATCTCTTTTGTGCATCACGGCAAACATCTAAACGGCAGCCAAACTCGTCCCACACGAGAAAGCATATCTTCTGTTACTGAGTGCACCGTAGCAGTGATACGGTTCTTCAGATCAATCAGAGTTGCTGGTAGAGGCGGGACGTAAACAGAGGTGCTGGTAGAGGCGGGACGTAAACAGAGTTGC